TTTTTTGCTTTAACCTTCCTTGGTCCTTGCACGGCCGGGCTGCCGGGGAAAGCAGGTCGACCCGGGCGGCCTGGCTGGTAGCCTAGGATTTTTTGGATTTTTTTTTTTTTGGATTTTCTTTTGCTGGGACCTTCTCTGGCCCTTGCACGGCTGGGCTGCGCAGGCAAACAAGGTGACCCGGGCGGCCTGGCTGGGAGCCTAGACCAGTAGCATAAAACACATGAAATCAAACCAAGGACCCACAGTACACTGCAAGTAGCTGGGTAACAGTCAACATGGCAACACCTCGCAACATGCAGCCTGCTCCTCTTCAAATCCTAACACCAGGGGCCAGGTCCAACTACCCAGACTGTGTTTCTGGCCGATTTAAATCCTCATAATGCATGGTCCAGAGTGTCGAATCACTCAAGTGGGACCTCACCCCCAGGAGACCCACCCATGGACAGATTCAAGATGGGTATTGCTAATTACAATCATCCTCACATAGACAATCCAGGCTAAAATTCGATTCTTGAGAACAAGTGATGTCTTGCTTCACTTTTTTTTTCATTTTCTTTTTTTTTATAACAAAAACAGAACCTTACCGTTCTGGCTCCTTTCCATTCTGGGAAGCATCAGTCCTGTTGCTATTCCACCGGCAAGTTACTCAGACACACTCTTCCTCATTACGGTCGAGAGGCCTGAGTGAACAGCATTGACTACTTTCCGAGAGAAGGATATACCACCCCTAGTTTGGATGTGCCCGAATGGGCCCGATTTAGACTAAATCGGCCCAGGCCCTAGTATATCCGATTTAGACCTTGGAAGAATGGTGAGGGAAGGATATACCACCCCTAGGATATACGATTAAAACCTTGGAAGAATGGCGAGGGAGGAGTTTGGAGACGGAGGAACTTACGAGGATAGAGACAAGCTTGGCATGAGGCGGCCAACCTCGAGCGACGTGCACTCATTTTGAAAGTTCGAATTCAGAGTCTCAGATTGCCGCGCCTAGGGCCTGGGTATTCTGCAAAGTTCTCCGCCGCTTAGGGAGGGCAGAACTGGGTAAAACAGAGTGCAGGCCCAGGCCCCAGCGGAGAGGTGCAGATTGCAAATTTGTGCCCTGCCCTGACAGGGGCATATCACTGAAAGGCATTCCACAATGCAGACCCCAAATTCGAATTTCAGGGTCAAGGTCTTAGGCCAAGGGAGGCCAAGTCGGTCAGTTTCAGAAAAGTCACAGTCGGGTACCTCAGGAGTCAAGTCCAACAGGCATCCGGTAACCAGTCACATCCCAAAAGCAAAAGCTGCATTCTGTAAGCAAAAGTCACGTCTCATATTTAAAAGTCATGTCCCACAGGCAAAGGACACTTCTCCAGGCAAAAGTCATGTCCCAGAGGCAAGAGTCACATCCCACGGTCAAAAGTTTCCACAGATGAAAAGTCGTGACTCACACACTCGAGCACCAGCACACCAATGAAAATTCGGCCCTGTGTGAACTCGGATACTGCAAAGATTCTTAAAAACTGTAATCAGATTCTACAAGGTGTTTGTAATTATTATAGTTTTGTACACAGTCGTACCAAGCTGCGTCGTATTCAATATATCATACAATATTCCGCCATGGCCACACTAGGTCGAAAACTCAAATTGAATAGTGCTGCTAAGGTTTGTCATGCGACTGAAGAGCATTGCCGATAGAGGGTCGGCGATAGAGAGGGCGACCGCCGCAGGTTGCCGACAAAAAGGCTCACTGCGAAGATCCGGCGGCGATCGGAGAGCAGCCTTCAAGGCGCGCCTTCGGCCCTCGCGTTCGTCGGCTCGCCAGAGTCATTTTAGAAGGATTCACTACATCCGCTATGCACCAGCCCTTGACATTCTGAAGCAAGCAGGCTGTGGGCATGTGGTACCGGGTCCAAGTCAAGCCAAAGGAGGCAGAGGCTGGGACTAGTCGAGGCTCAGTCCAAGTCAATATAAAGACTGGCCAGCCACATTTCAGGGGAGATGGCTCATTCGTGAGAAGTGTGGAAGTGCTGTTGAAGCGCTTGTGCACTATCTGCGAGTAGCATGCGCGCGAGAGCCCTGCTGGGCAGCGCTGCACTGAGAGGGAAGGCGGCCATAGCCGCGTAAGTTAGTAGTAGGGATAGAGATGAGTAGCAGCGGATGTATTCAGAGTC